TCCCTCCCTCCCTCCCTCCCTCCCAAGAGGGGCAGGTGCCGCCCCATCGCCTCCTGCCTCTCACCCTGCCGGAGGAAGGGCAGGGTGTCAGGCAGGGTCCTTGGGAGTCCTTTCCTGTGGGGCAGGGCCCAGGGGCGCCTGCAGCATCTTTCTTTGGGGAGTGGGTGGACACTTTCCAGGGCATCCATCCCGCTGGCTGCGTGACTGGCAGCTCAGTGCCCGAGGAAGCTCGAGCAGATGGTGGGAGAGGCCGTGCTTCAGCGTCCTGGGAACAGCCGCCACCGCCTTCCAGCCTAATCCTTCCTGAAAGCCTTTTCTGCACTCGTGACCACCAGAATACTCTCGAGTACCAAAGTCCACCAGTTAATGATTTGCTGTGTGGCAAAGGGCCTCCCGCATGCCAGGCAACGCAGGTTGGGGGTGGCTGTTAGCCCTCTTTGCCCTGAGATGGATGTACAGCCAGTTCTTACCCTCGGCTGGCAGACCGCTCTCAGCCTCCACGGAATGATCGGGCCTGTTGGCCCAACTGGCTGGGATTATTTATTTGGGACCCCCCCCCCCGCTAGCCTCGTCCCGGATCCCTCAGTGCCTATTTTCCATTGGGCATAATGGGAGTGGAGGAATGGATGCAGCCCAGCTCCTTCCTCTTCCTCTCTCGTGAGCTGTGGGTCTCACCACGCGTGTGGACGGAGGCTGAAGGCACGTGGCACACTTCGGCAGGAGGAAGAGACCTGGTGGCTGCAGCGTGTAGCACACTGTGCTTAGTTTTAACCTGCGTTAGTTCTTGTAGCTTATCCCACAGGCCGTTTGGTGAGTTGATTGATGACAGCTGACCCCAACGATCAGGCGAGGCCTGTTCTGCAAGTGCAGCCTCTACGGTGTGGCTGCCGCTGCCCGGGGGGCTCCCAAACAGGAGGTGGAGATGAAGCCCGCCTGCCCCAACACCCCCTGCCTGAGGGTGGCAGGGGCAGTATGAGCAGGGTCTGAGTAACGCAAGGGGTGCCTTGGGGGTCCTGAACCATTTTGGATGGGGCCGCTTCGGGACCCGGCAGAGCTCTGGCCGGCCTGGATCAGCTCCGGTAGGCTTTGTCTGGTTCGCCTTCTCCCTCCCTCCTGGGGGAGCCTGGGCTAGTGATCCTCCAGGCTCCATCACTGCCTGGCCGGACAATTGTAAGCTGGACCTCTCCCTGGAGCTGCTGCTTGGATGGTGGCCGGTTTGTGTCGGTGAGGGAAGCGTGCTCCACTGGGCCAGAAGAAGGGCACTGCCACTCTCCTCCTCCCCCCTCCAAGCCCGTCTCTCTGGACACTTCCCTTTGGGGAGCCAAGGGCGTAGGGGTGCCCCCTCCCCCGCTGACTGAGCTCTCCTGCAGGTTATGCTGCTTCCACTTCACCCTCTGAGTCGTAAGGAGAAAGAGAAAGGCTAAGCGGAGAGCCCGGACTGCCTGGGTCGCCGCCAGGGCCACTCACGGAGTTTGCCATGAGCCACACGCGGGTCTCCGAGCGCCATCATATCGTCTCTGGTGCCTTTGAAGGGGTGAGTAGCCGACGGCCTTGGATTCTGCAGGTGCCTGTGGCTGGCATCTCTAGCCACGTGCTGGCTGGTGGACTTGTAGGCTAAGCTGGGCCGTGGGGCCATTGGCCTAAATGGTCCAGACCAAGAGAACTCACAGGAGGGCGAGGGGGAGGGGGAGGTCAGGACCAGCCCCATGGGAAGCCTCCCCAGCTCTCCCCAGGCTGCTTGCCCCTCCTCCCTCCCTCCCTCCCTCCCTCCCTCCCCGTACAGGTCAGTCTGTGGCGATGGGAGCAGAGGGGCTCCAGCCTCCTCTCCCTGCTCCAGATGTGTGGGGGGTGTTCCTGTCTCTTCACAGCTATCAAAGGCCCAAGTGCCCCGGGGGGAGGGAGGAGTGCTGAGGGGAAGACCACCGTCCCAGCAGCCAAAGTGGGCGAGGGCAAGAAGGGGAAAGAGATCTCATTCAGCCTCACTCCTGCCTGGATGTGGGGGGCGTGGGGGGGTTGGGGTGAGAAGAGCTGTCTTTCTGGACTGAAGCTCCTCCTCCTCCCTTGCCCCTCTCACCCCAGGAGACCAGCCCTTCTGCAGGAGGGAGGCTAATGACTTGCCAGCCTCCCCGTGGGTTGCGCTGCAGTTCCCATCGCCCAGCCTTGGTGAGGAAGCGGGTGGATCCCAAAGGCCATCTAGGCCAAGTCAGGGCTTCCTCTCCAAAGAAGGCAGGCCCGTCCCTGAAGCCGTCTGTGCCCCTCCAGCCTCTATGGAGTACCCAGCAGGCCTCGCCTCATGGTTAGATTAAGCCATTTTGGGGTTCCCCACAGTGATGCACCCAGGAATATCAGCCCACGCTTATGGGGCTTGGGAAGTTCCAGCCACCCAGTGGGCTGCTTGTGTCTCCATGGGCCCCTTCATCTGGGGCAGGACGTGCGGGCTGAGCAATGGTCTATAGGGATGACCCCCCTCTCTTGAGGACTGGGGGGGCAGAAGGGGGGATGGGTGAATAACAGAATTACCCGAGAGGGACCATGCACAAATGGGGCCGCTTGGTGGGACCCAGGTGTTCTTGGGCTGAGCCGCGAGCTGCCCCGGCTCAGCCAGGACCCCTTCTTACAAGCTGGGTGGGGGGGAAGCTCTGTCCGTGTGTGGAAGGCTTGACCAGAACCATGGCAGCCGCTGTGGGAAAGGGACACTGGCTGGAACTGCAAAGCAGTCTAGGGGCGCCCGACCACAGGCGCAGCTGCTGGGTCCTCTGGCGGGCCTTTGGCTCCGTCATGGACCCAAAGAGGGCTGGTGACGCTGCCGCGTTGCCCGCACCACTGCCCAAAGCGAGGCCCGGCAGGTGAGTTAATGGTTAAGCTTTTGTGGGGGGCTTCTGTGCCATGGACCAGCCTGGAGCCTATGAAGGATCTGCTGGCAGCCCATGACCCTGCTGTACGGCC